GATTTGCACACAAAGGTAGTGATTAATGAGAGCTTTTGAATGTGTGTCCATTCTGATGGGAATGGCTTGCTGCCTAAAGCAAGAACTCATCCTGCTTGCTTAGCAGCTTATTATGGTAAGGACCTATAAATGAAGTATATTTTCATTCATCACCAACTGTTAGTAAGCCTCCAGATATAAATGATAATAAAGAGACAGAAACAATTTTAAATTACAAAGGCATGCTTGATTATCCCCAACAAAATATATGAGATATGGTTACCATTAAGTGGAAGCAAACAAAATGGAGCATGGACTAATCTTAGAGACTGTGTATTTAAGATTAAAATTCATTGACCTTAAATTAGAAGAGATATAGTTGAAAGAAAATTTACTTGATTTAACATTCATCTTAGAGAACCGTGCTTAACCAACAAACAATATCAGAACATGCAGATCAAATTTCAATGAAAGAAATTCTTCCTTGCTTCTTTAGAAAATGTGTATGTAGGACTGCTTGTCTGTTTGTTTATTTTTTAAATGGATAATAATTTAAACTTACTTTGCCATTAAATCAGTGTTGCCAGATTGGTACAAGGGAGAGGGTCAACGAGTAGAATTTTAGTATAGGTGGGAACTTGAATTCATGCTAACATAGAGTGGGAAGTGTTGTGTGTATTGCAGGAAGGTAAGTTCCAAGGGTAAGACCATTAAATTGGAGACATTAAATAACAAAGACAGTGAGGGTTTGGGCAGCAGACGGTTATCTTCTTACAAACTTCAGGTAAGCTTTTCCTTTCCAAATCTATTTAACTACTATTTGATGAACAGACCAGACACCAAAGTTACTGCTTGTCTAAGGCTCCAGCTTTGCTTACTGGAAACCTATGACTTGATTTTCAGAAATCATATTTTTCTGATTTTTTAAATAAAACTTATTTTGGCCAAATCCTGAAAACATGCACCCTCAATGACATGGATTTGAAAGGAAGTCCAGGGTGCAGAGTAGGTCTCGGGTGGGCGAGGGTTTAAAACTGAGCCAGTGCAAACGGAAGTCATCGGACTAGATTAGAAGTGGTGATTGTGCTGGGGTTCTACAAAGACTTGGGTTCAGGGTCAGTAAGGCAGTAGGCATTTTGGGAGGAAAATAACAATTCTCAGGGAAAAATGTAGGAAGGATGCAAACTGATAAATAGCCATGTGATGTGGGAGCAAACTGCTGAGAGTTAGGTCTGAGGCATCAGGAGGATAGTGTGCTCTTTCTTTATGGTTACGATCACCAAAGCAGCTGGTTTATTCATGCACATGCATGTGTTATGTGAGTAACGTAAAGTCAGCTCAGAAATACATTACTTTACATTGAGAACGGCTGACTACAAACAAAGGAACCGCATGCAGGGTTGGTAGGAAAGAGAAATACTGTACCAATTGGCAAGGGGCATCCAGCCCATCCAGGCCAGGCTGGCCTGGCTCCCCTTTTTCCCCCTTAATTCCACGGAATCCCTGTTTGTAAAGATTAACTTGCAATGTTACTGTCAAGGAAATGCCTTCGGTATTGACTTAGCTGGAGCAAACAAATAACAACAGAGAGGCGAGAGGAGCAAGCTCACAGCGGGGATGTAGTTTCAACGTATGGGGTCAGGGACTCTGACCCACACTGAATTTGGTTCTTTTTCAACATTCAGCAGAAAATAATGAAAAAAACAACAACCAAATCTTGCTTGAAGGCCTTAACTTCATTCCTTTAAACCAAATTAGGAGGTTGAAAACCAACTCTGTTTCCTAATTTGTGAAGCTTGACATAATGCTGCATTAACAAGGGCAACAGGTGACACACTAGGTGGTGCTTGTTCCTCTCCTCTCATTTCTTATTCCATCAATCTATAGCAGGATGATCAGTTGTCCAATACACAAGCGAGACGTACCAATGGGCAAGGTGCATCTAATCCAGGAGCACCCTGTTCTCCTTTCTCCCCTTTAGGCCCCTTTTTGCCTTTCTTTCCCTTTTCCCCCTGTGGATACAATGGTTTGGATAAAACATGTTTCATTCTTTTGGAAAAAAAAAATAAAGAAAGATTGATTGAAATGTTTGAGTTTTTCTTTTTAAGCCAATGGAGAGCTGAAAGGACACTTACCACTGTGTTCTGGTTTGGTTGGTGCATTATGTGGAAAAATAAATTATATGATCACAAGCAAGAACTGCAATCAGTTGGTATTAGTTTGCGTTGTTGACATTTCCTGTCAGTATCATGAATGTTTTGAATCCTAGAACAGGGCTTGAAATCACTGATCTCTTCAGATAGAGGCGAATCTGCAAATCCCCCCACTCCACAGTCCAAAATGAGAGGTTTCCTATTTGCTCTAACTGACAGTTCTGAAGTGCACATAGATGCACCAGCTTCTTCAGAAGATTTGTCATGGGTCAAAAGTAGCTTGGCAAGAGTGGAGGACATTAGCATAGTTTCTTTAAAACTTCAGAAGGGACAGTACAGTCAGTCTGTGGAAGAATTCTGTCAAGGGCTATGATGTCACATCAAGGGTAAACTTGGCCTGGTGCATCCTTTGCTGAACTGACTTCCTGCACTCTGGTAAGAGCCTGGGACAAATCCTATTCTTGATTACGTCCATGGAGACCCGCTACCATCACCAAGGGTGCGCTCCTGTCACTCAAAATACAATGGGATCCTTTATTTCAAACCCTGTTAAAGGAATCAAAGCACCCAAACTGCTTGATGGAGAGGTTCTGAGGCTCTTTCAAGGACTTCATAATGACTTGAGACCATAAGCTAGTTAAAAGGGATCATTAGAGTTCCTTTATTTAAACAGCTCAATATTTGAATAATCTTTATTTAACATCTATGTAAATGTTCTTTCAACAGCAGAGAGCATTTCATCTACTCATTTTACTGTATAAATCCTTTGATTTTGAACTGAATTTTCTTTTTAAATATGAAACTTCCAGTGCTTTAGTTACTCATGGAATGAGTTGATCCCTTCAATAAAGGTATCTGCAAAAATGACCTCACCTTCAAGCAGTATAAGATGTTTGGAGAGTTCATTTTCTAATTGATTTCACACCAGTTGATCACAATGGTAAATGAGTTTCAGGCTTGCTCTCAAATTCACAAAAATCAAAAAAGGTTCAGTTAAAAAAAAAAAGAAAGAAACAAATTGGGCTATGGTTGTAAAAAATGGGATAGGAAGGATGAGTGAATCAGGAATATCACAAAGAAAAGGGAAAAATAGTCATAGGAAAATTAGTATGACACTGGAGAACCAGCAAGCGAGGTTGTGGCTATTGGAAGGATTTAATTTGTGAGGAAAAGGGTAAAAAAGACAGGGGAATTATGGGGGATGAAGGTAGAAGGAGAAGGAAGGAATACCCCTTTGGAAAGACAGGTGGCTTTTGGTGAAGCATAGTAAACAGACATCTAATTAGTACCACACCACCATGGAAAGTCTTCATTCATTCACAGACAGAAAAAGCATTTTTTTTTTTTTACACAAATAAAAAAACAATTAGCTGTAACATGTTTAAATAGAGAGGGAAGCACATTATTCAATCAGCATTGTAGCATACTTGACACATTCGAATGACAAAATATCTTTTCCGTGAACAAAACATATTGCACTTGTGACACGATAGGCAAAGTTCCTTGTTTATCTTTTCTGTGTGCCAAAAAGTTTCAGGATGATACGTAGAAAAAAGCAACCCAAACATTACCCTTCTGTACAAAATTGTAAGGCTGCGATATATAAAAAGCACAAGTTGGCTGGGTTTTCATGTTAAACCTAGAAGCGTGGCATCATAGCACAGAATCTTAGCAGCTTTAGGGTCAAATCTCACTTTCTTTGTGCTCAGTGCAACACAGATATGTTTACTGTGAGTAGATGTAAGCACAGAGCATGGACATACTTAAAAAATGATTATAACAACAGATAGTACAGTTTGATTTCTGACTCCTTCATGTCTTTAGAACTTCTATTTCATTAACTTGCCGTGTTATAAGTCAGCAGGTGACTAGTTATACTTCAAGCTTTGCAGGGCAAACCTGTGTTCCTATCTGAACCAACACAGCACTCATACGTGTAAAGAGTAGTCTGAGTTCCTGAAGACTTGACCAGTTTTCCCATGGACTGAGCTTTCTTCAAGTACTTAATGTCCTTACCGAGACCTATAGAGCTCCATCAGAAATACAGAGTGTGAAAAGACATGCAGATGAATAAGAAAAAAAAAGGTCTCTTTCCTGTCCTTCCTTACCACCTATAGAAACACCAGTTTGTGGCACTTCTGTAAAAGATCAGGCAGTCAGGCTGGCACAGTCTCCAGTCACAGAACTGTTGGGGTTGTAAGAGACCTCATAGAGTCCAACCCCCTGTTAAAGCAGGTTTCCTACAGCAGGTCACACAGGAAAGCATCTAGATTGATCCTGAATATCTCCAGAAAAGGGGGCTCCAGAACATGTCCGAGCAGCCTGGTCCTGTGCTCTTACTCTTACCGTAAGGAAGTTCTTCCTTGTGTTCATATGGAACTTCTTACGTTCCAGTTCCCATTGCCTCTTATCCTGTTGCTGGGCACAACTGAAAAGAGCCCTGCCCCACTTGACACCTTCAGATATTAATAAGCACTGATAAGATCCCCTTTGAGTCTTCTCCAGGCTGAACAGTCCCAGGTCTCAGCCTTTTCTCATAAGGGAGATGCTCCAGGCCCCTCATCATCTTTGTGACCTCACATGCAGAGCTGTGGCAGCACAGGGGATACAGGGAATAGGATGATGCCTTCCCAGACATCCTGGGGATACCTCAGTACTCTTCTGACAACCCTTATATCAAGAGACAACTGCACTTTTGGGATAAGGGCTCCCTTCCTGCCCTACGCACATAATATCTTTTCTTAAAGCTTTTTCCTTTTTGGCAGTAGGAAAGTTGAATGTGGAATTTGAATCACCATTCTCTTTTTAGTAGTTTTCTAAAACTTCTTTACTGAAGCAGAATGTAGTACATAAGAAATGATTTTTAATAAATAATAGACTTCTACTCATAAAACTTGAAAATATAAAACCAATTGTACAAATGTTTTTGTGCTGAGTGCTCCTGGACTGTAATTTTGTAGAAGTAATGGGAGCTAGATTTTTTTTCTTTTTTTTTTTTTTTTAACAGCCAAGTTAAGCAGACATTATAATGCAAACACTGACATAGTTTTACTGTTGAGCTGTCAACAGGCTAAAACAAAAACCATTGGCCTAGGATTTATTCTCAAAACTGAGGTAATGAGCTACTCACCAATCAAGACGTGTCAATGAAAGACAAGCATCATTCTTAACAGTGTTTTAGTCACGATATTAATTTTTACATTTCAGTCTGAAGTAAGTTACCTAATTAGAAATTAGTCTCAACTTGTTTGAAGAGAGTATTTCTCTACATCGTTTGGTCCTAAATTGCATTTTATTGAACAAATTTCCATGCCACCGTGTCTGGACGCCAGGCCTCTTCTGTTACCCTCCTGTTACTGTTGGGCTGGTTTACCAGAAAACGTAGTGTAAGATTTAATTTCAGTCCACAAGCATCACTGAGGAAATAAGCCACTGTCAATAGTAAAGATTAGCACAGTTCCTGTCCTTTGCCACTCGGTATGGGACAGGCAGTGTGTGCAGGCACAGTGCGCCGGGGTCAGCAGTTACACTGAAATACTGCTGAGGCTCTGAGTCTCCTGTATGACATTACTACCAAAATTACTCATTTCGGTGATGTCTGCTTTAAAAGTTTCAGGCTGACAAGGACTTTCAACAAGCGTAAGATGGATGGAGAAAGCGAGCCTAAGAACGAGCTGTGCTTTGGCACACATTGGTAGCACTCGTTCTGTGCATAAATTTTCATGATCTTTCTAACACGGGATTTTGTTTAGTGCGCATCTGTGAGCTGCCTTTTGGCACACAGGGAAAACAAAGATCAGGTTTAGTGGGATGATTTATGGAATAAAGACAGCAGAGCTGACTGGGCCAAGGAACCAAGCAAGAGTTAATAACACTGCGATCACCTTTTCTCCCTTTTCTCCTATTTCACCCTTTTCTCCTCGAGGACCAGGGAAACCCTATAAAAAGAAGGGACAAAGGTAGGTCGACTTCTATTCACATGCAGATTAAGCTTTTACATACTCTTGGAAAATGTGCAAAAAAGTGACCTCGCGGCATGCTTTGTATGTACACGTGCTTTGTGCACTGACATGCATGCACACGAGAGCATGTGAAACAAGTCCGTGGTGTCTGGCAGTGCCATTTTGCCAGTAAGGGAAAGGAATCAGATCACTCAAAATGGTTCATGCTTTGTCACCTATGTGTGAGTTTATGGAAAAGACTCCTCCAAGTTAGGGATTTCCATGGACGAGAGGCAAAAGCTTTCAGCAAGTCTTTTTTAGCATGCCAAAAAAAAAAGGGTCTACAATTTTAAATACGTCACTTGGAAGTTATGGAATAACTGTCCTTATTTAGTGATAAATTTACTTGATCAAATGTTAGCAACGCCTTGCTCTGCTCCAAGTGAGCCACAGGTTTGACTGTGGCAGTATTTTGACTTCCAAAGGAGCAACTACTCTTTTTCCTAAGCATTACTTCTGGCGAGGTCTGCAGGCAAGGGCTATACATTGCATAGCCTTGGTTCCCTTTATCACAGGAGGACAGCAAATGCAGCATTTAGTGCGCTCTTTGTAGGTACTGCATGCACACTAAATGGAAACAAACGTGTTTATCAGTAAGCTACTTCTTGCAAGACGCTTACCTACCATGGTGAGGCATTGTTCATTCATATTACTTACATCAAGGCCAGGCTCGCCATCTTTGCCCTGCCAAAGAACCACATAAGCTCTGTTAGTGTCCCTAAGCTTGGCTACCTGAGGCCAGCTCCATGCCCTGCACTGCACTCGCTCTCTGCAGCCACAGCAGCACAGCTCAGAGCACACACACAGCGCTGCCATTAGGGAAGGATGTGGCAGTCAGTGTTGAATGTTTCCAGAAACTGATAACTTGACTGTAAAATGGTGCTGTGGGTTGTAGGCAGGCTCCAGGAGCAGGCTAAAAATAGATCACAAGGGAAAATCGAAAATGCTTTTTTTTTTTTTTCTTTTTTTTTTTTAATTAACTGACAAAAAATGACCCTCCAGTAAGCATGTGCTGCAAGCTAATCCAACATTCCACAGAGCCTGAAATTGTCTCTTCTCATTGACTCCTGATCCAATTAAATGCATCCAATTAAACCCCAAGCCTGTGTTCAACCTAAATTAATTTTGGCCCAGACAGATCAGGCTGGAGAGGGTATGGAGGTGCTGCAAGATCTCAGAGAGGCTGGTTCTGCCTGGATCAGCACAGTGGCACAGCTGCCCTTGTGTCAGTGCACTGGTGAGACACACACATGTGCACACCTGACCATCAGCAAAGTAAGCGATTCCTTTCAGTAGGGTTACACTTGTCCAAGTAAAGGAAGTTCTCAGTCATATTTTAGGACTGGCCAATACCTTTTACACGTTGGATTTAACACAGACCGTCTCCACCCAGAAACCATCAACAACCAACTTCTTCCTCAAAGTCCTTCTGAGCACAACACACAGCATTAAAACTGATGCCTTTGTAGTGTCAAACAAAATAACACAGCAAAGTAGCCTTGCAGCAAGGAAATATGAACACTTTATTGACTCCGATTCCAGAAATCAGAGCTTTCATCCTAAAGTCCTGCTGCTTCACCCCCTGGCAGCCCAGATTGCAAGCTGCACAAACAGGAGCACCTGAATTCTGTATTTCCTCTCTTGCTGCTTAACGGTTGGTCTTGTTTCTTTACTTTTGCATAACCACAGCCATGAGCAGGAACCTATCTCTGTGACACCAGCCAATGACCTTGCATTGTCAGGGATTATTATCTAGCTTTTCCTTTTCCAACCAGTTGTATTGCTAGGTCAAAAGCAGTCACAGAGCACACAGGTTAATCAAGGAGTGCTGAAAAGCACAACAGGTACAAACTACATGCAACTTACAGGCAAGCCATAGGGTCCTCTGGGTCCAGGGTCACCTACAGTTCCCTTTTCACCCTAAGAACAGAATACAGAACAAACAAAAACATTGTCTGGCTTAAACAATGTCTATGAAGTGTTTTCATTACCTTAAAACTTATAAGCTCCTAAATCTACAGATCAAAAAATATCCAAGCTCTGTTATCTTTGTTAAATGATCCAGGGGTGGGGAGGAAACGTGCATTACATTCCGGGCAAAGTGACTTTCTATGCATATGATATTTATTTTCAAACAACGTAGTGACTGAAAATATTTTTCAAGCTGAATTTGCACTGATTTCAATATCAAGCCTGTAAGAGTTGCAACACTGCGCTCAGTAAAAACACCAGCACAGCAGCTGAGATGTGGCAAGGTGACAGGCAAAAATAATATGTCAATCAAAGGTTGCATTTAATCAGGCAATGCTATTCCCAGTGACATTGCTGGGATTATCCTATAAACTGTACCGTGTTGTTAACTGCTCTACTGGACTCTAGATTAATGATGTGAATACTCTGCTTTATTAAATTAAGACTCTATTGCTGTGCAACAAAAACAAATAAAGGACTTCTCCAGAACCCTGATCTAATTCCACACTGAATTCCATAGAAGAAGCATCTAGAGGGATGCTATGAAGATAATTTTGCAATACAATACAGAGCAAATTTTTCCAAATGAAATGAAATTTCTAGATGACCGATTTCAGAATGCCAGTACCAATCATCCGTGCTCTCCAGTACATTATCAAGATTGATGATGGAGCAAAACTTGCTGAGCTGATAAGCATTAACCCGTGCGAGGGTGAACGCATCCTTGGTACTAATTCACTATTTAGTATTAATACATCATTCTTCATTATTAAAAGCACAGGGCAATTATGTATATATGCCTAATTAATAGCGTAGTGCACCTGCACAACCAAGTCCCTTAGCTCAGCTCTAAAAGAGCATGGCTAAGTCTAGATTGCATTGACAGGATAATACAAAGCAGTAGGCACCAAGATAAACTGGAAGTCTGAGCCTGCTGCTGAATAATCACAGCAATAAGGAGTTTGTCAGAGAAACTGACGTTTGATTGTTTTAGATACTTCACATTTTTGTGGTGACTGATGCTGTCTGTCTGCACTGCAGCGTAGAGAAGTTCAAATGTGTAATGCCCAATCTTTCTTTGTTCTGTAAATCTTCAGCCCATTCTGATCAGTGCTGAGGCTGGATACTGTGGCAGAGCAATAGGAGTCACTGGGAAGCAACAGCTCATTTACAAAGCAGTAAATCCCCTGCAGCTTTAAAACTTTCTGCTGAGAAGAAACTAATGTGCTGACCTATGTCTATAGCAGCTACAAAATTGTTCGACAGATACTTGAAGCATGTCAAGACTAGTTAAGTATCCTTCTTTTTTCCAATCCCAAACAGCAAAGATGACTGTACAAAGTCCCCACAAGACAGCCTAAACATATGGTAGACATAAAAATACTGAACACTTAGCATATCAGTCTAGGGAAATAGTCGCATCTGTTATGTAAGAATATATTCAGAGAACTGTATCTCACAATTTTTGCCTCCAATCCAAAGCACATGCTGAGATGTGCTTGGAATATCAGATGAGGTCTTGAATGCTTATGGATTATATAAGATTGATGAATTGTCACAGGCATGCTGCCCTGAGCAATCATGAGAAAGTTTTCCCGTTGGGGACACAGATATTTGCCAAGTTCAGAAATGGTTTTAAGATTTTTTCTTGAAAGAGAATTCACAGAATGGTCTGGGTTGAAAAGGACCTCAAAGATCATCTAGTTTCAACCCCCCTGCAGGGTCACCAACCACCAGACCAGGCTGCCCAGAGCCACATCCAGCCTGGCCTTGAATGCCTCCAGGGATGGAGCATCCACAGCCTCCTTGGGCAACCTATTCATGATGTGTCACCACCCCCTGTGTGAAGAACTTCCTCCTAATATTAACCTAACCTCCTCCCCGCCTCAGTTTAAAACCATTCCCCCTTGTCCTATCACTATCCACCCTCATAAACAGCCGTTCCCCCTCCTGTTTATATGTTCCCTTCAAGTACTAGAAGGCCACTGTGAGGTCTTCTCAGAGCCTTCTTTTCTCCAAGCTGAATAAGCTCAGTTCCTTCAATCTTTCTTATAGGAATGGTCCTCCTCTGGACTCAACAGCACCCAGAGAACAAAACCTGCAGACTTACTTTTTTACCTCCTATTTCAGTTTAGTCACCTGAATCACAGGTGAATATGAGCTATGGATTACATAAGTAAGACTGCATAATTGGTGTCTCATACTACTAATTGCTGTTTTTCCTTCTACCAAGAGAAATACACAAACTCAGCACTGAAACGTTCACCAGTACCATCCTTGAGTGATGCCGTGGAACAGGTTGCCCAAGGAGGCTGTGGATGCCCCATCCCTGGAGGCATTCAAGGCCAGGCTGGATGTGGCTCTGGGCAGCCTGGTCTGGTGGTTGGTGACCCTGCACATAGCAGGGGGTTTGAAACTCAATGATCGTTGTGGTCTTTTTCAACCGAGGCCATTCTGTGATTCCAAAATGATATGAATCTATGTTCACTTTCTATAATAGCTTAAAGTGAAGAGAAAAAATTACATGGCTAAGCAATGAGTTAAAAGCACAATTATTCTAATATTTATTTGCCTATTTTCTAGTGACTCGCAGTGTATCCCTATTCTACTTTTATACCATCTAAATAAGTTTTTTTTTTTTTTTTAATAAAGGACTGGCTGATATTTTCTATTTTAATTAAATAGTTAAGTGTGAAACCAGCCAACCAATGCTAATTTGTACAAGTCTATTCTACCTAAGAAGAGAAATTAATCATTGCCTCAAATGTTGCCTATGTGACAATGAAGCCATGGTTTCTACATCTGACATCATTAGGCTTCTGTTTGATTATACTTAATTTCCTTAATTTTTAAGTAGTCATAAATGAATAGCGACCAGCATTTTGCAAGTAGTCTCTTAAAGTGAGATTACCTTTCCAAACTTAAAATAATGTGACTGTTTCATGTTAGTGTTCCTTAGTGCCCTTCTAGGCTAATATTATCCCAAGGTTTTTCTTATCATCAGGGAAACAGGCGATCCTGTCCAGTGGCAGAGTGGTGGCTTTGTGCACTATTATTAATTAAAAGGTGCAATCTGAAATCTGCAGTCAAAACATGTTTTCATCCTGCTTTCACATAAACAAGTTCAACAGCTGCAAGTGCAGGTTATGAGACTCTGTTAAAAAATACATGATATGTTATTTAGATAACAAGACATTTATCCAGCTCAGGCACCTATCAGATGACCATTATATACACACATCCTCTTTCCAAACAACATTAAATTATTAAATAAAGGATTACAAGCAATAATCAGACTAGATGTCTGCTTGGAAAAAGAAATCCATCTTTCTGGTCAATTCCATTCATTTTGGCTACATTGAGAATAGTGGGTGTGCACATCTTAGTTTCAGTATTTTTTGCAAATCAGTCTCTGCACGCAAATGGAATTATTGAACTGATTTACATCTCAGCAGCTCCTGTCTCCTTTGTAACTACTTCTTGTCAACAGCCATGAAAGGTCTAATTCTAAATCCAGTTGTATGATTTATTATGACCTTAGAGAATTGCATAAGGAAGAACAATTGTAGTCATTTTCCATACATTTAGAAGAATAGTTGATATCACAGCACTTTGTTTTTAATGGAAATTTCAGGAGTCGGAACAACACTCACAACTGAAGTTCATAATCTGTGAATACGGTATCTCTATTTATTTCTTTATGCATCTCTCATCTAAATTATTTTTGGAAATGCAGAAAATGACATTTGACCATTTTTCCACTGAGTTGATAGGAAAAAAGTTGAAAAAGGACTTGAATCTGTAATCCCCAAAGAAAAAAAAAGGAAAGACTCGAGCCCTACAACTAACCATTAATGAGCCTGCTACAAGACACTGTTCCTATTTTGGAACCATGCTTCACGTCCTGTATTTATTCCCCAACAAACAGCTCTGTAGAAATGAATGCTCGAGTCATGCATACCTTTGTACTGCTGCTTGAGCTAACTGGACCTGAGCCATATGCTCGTATCCCTAATGCAGCAAGTCTGAAGTTGTTTCAACACAGCTGTTTTGTTAAACTGAGAAATTCAAAGAGACATAATTCTGGGCTGGAGTCTCCATGGAGGTTTTAGTGTAAGGTATCACTTATGCTTTGTTGTTGTACAAGTTCACAGTAGGATTGTTAAAGGTGACAGACTCATCGTTAAAGATTAAGATTTTCTCACTGGAGAAAATTTACTGTGAATATTTCAAATTAAATAGGAGGGTTCCTATTTTCTATGCTAAAGAAAAAGAAGAAAGTTTTAGATTCATAGAAGTTAGTGTTTTTCAAGATAGAAAATGTAGTGCAAATAACTGCATAATACGCTTTTTTTTTTTTGCCTTTGCATATTCGTATGCCCAGATCACTCTTATCATTCAATTTGTTCTCTGAAACTATTTACACTAATCACTGAAATTAAGTAAAAGCATGTCCCACGTAACACTGTAAATATGACACTCCTGTAAGGTTTTTACTGATTAGTAATTACAAAATACCAGTCCTGAAGTTAATGACTTACCAAATCAAACATAAATGTGCATGTAACTTGAATGCATACACAGTTCTGGGTTGATCCTTACACAGATGAGATATTGTTTGGTTTAGTAACATCTGGGCACGCTACAGTAGCCATGTGACAGTGCAATTATGGCTAATTGTGTCTTCATAAAGAAAAGCACACAGTGTATACTTACTCTGTCTCCTTTAGGGCCTGCAGGGCCGTGGGGACCGACTGGGCCATCTATACCCTGTGAAGGGAAGCCAAGAGGGTAAGAGAAAGGTCCAGTTCCTTCAAGTCTTTCGATTTAGTACCTGTCTTCTAGCCAAAACCTAATATGGAATCAGCCATCACCAGATGAAAATGCAGATTTAATTGTGCTGAGACCTGGGCAAACAAATCTGTTTGGCTTTCAAAACTCAACCTATAAGCTCTCATGTTACAAGGCAGCCCATCTTTTTTCTAGTTGGATTAGAATTTCTTTATGGAAGTTGTACAAAGATTTTTAAAAGTTATTGAAAGAAATGTGGCTAGTAGAAGTTGAAGGTTCAAATATTGCTTACTTTTAAACATTGGGGTTTTTTATTCGTTTCTTTTACTAAATCTGAAATGTCCACTTTATGGGTGGACGCACCCCGTTACGGTGATCCATACTTCATTCATTTTTTCTCACTAAGAAACAAGGAATCTAGTATGTATTTTAAATGTAACAGTGCTTGCAGTAGAGCCCCAGCACACCTGATTCCATTTCACTGTTTCCATATTAGCACAAACCAAGCATGCTTTCCTATGTAAAACAAATCCCTAACCTTGCTCAGGTAAGCAAGACCCCAACCAGCAGCAGTTATCCAGCCAAATATCAACCTTTCTAAGGGTCAGAGCCTCTTTTTGCTATGAATCATATTCTCTTTCCCCCACACATTGCCCTAGGAGGCTGCTTGAAGCCTGTGACAGCACGGAAGATGCCTGCAATGCGTGGCCTCCATTCCTCCGGGCCGCGCACAGCCTGGGTAACACAGCGACATGGAAAGACAAGGGACTCACCCGGGGTCCTGGCTTTCCGTCTAAGCCAGATGCTCCCTGTGTGGTTAGGTGGAAGCATGGATGATGGGTACGACACGGGTGACAAGAACGTGAGATTAGTAAGTGGTGCTGATGAAGAAACATAATTCAAATGTACAGTACGAATAGTGACAGGGTTCTGGGACGGGTATCACATTACTACAGCATGTTAGTTAAAAATTCACGTGAAACATCAAGAGCCCACATCGGTTCTGATATCAGTGCAGGACCACTGACCCACCCCTGCCTTCCCACCGCAGCACATTTGCCCAGAATAAACCTGAAGCTACACAATGACTCCAAACACCAGAAGTTGGGGTGTTTTTAGCCTTAGCACACAAATATTTAATTTGTCATTTACTTGCTTGCTTTCTAATTTGTAAACAAGGACAATACTAAATACCCTACTACACAAAGCAAAACACAACAGCGTATGCTAAGAGAGATAAGAAATATTTAAGCACATTATGCAGCTAACAAAGCCTGGGCCCTGCTTACAATGGCCCCATTCATTCCCAGGACGCGCGGCCCGGGGAACAAACACCGATTCCTGTTTTCCCACCCCGCTCCCCGCTCCGCCCGGGGCTGCGGCACCGCCGGGTCGGCATCCTTGGGGACGGGAGGACCTCTGCTGGGTCACCTGCGAATAGCAGGAGAATGGGCCGCGAGGCTGGGATTAACGGAGTGCGTGTGTCTATCTGGGGCATCGGGAATAACATGGGCCAATTTAAAAAAAAAAAAAAAAAAAGGAAAAAAACCAATCATAATAAAATGGGAAGGGGAGGGAAAAAAAGTGATATAGTAGTGTTGAAGAGCCATTTTCTAGAAAGATAATTAGAAAATAATAATCCCTAAGCCAATTTTTAACTTTGCTCAGTTAGACCTCTCCATTTTACAGGGGAAGAATAAGTGAAGGTGTGGGGAGGAAGGTGAGATGCCCGTTTTAACACAAACACCATACAACACTGAAATAACAAAATGATGAATGTAATGGGGTTGATGGCATCCTCACGACACTGAATGCTTTCAACTGACACGTAACAAAAAACCTGACAGCACTGGGTGTTACAGAGCATGACTTGGACAAACAAAAACAGGCTGATGCTTGGCTCTACCATGGCTTATTCTATATATGCTGTTGAGCAAACCAGTGTTGTTCACTGTAAGCAGAAAGAGAAGTTTGCAATTTGCACTGAAATTGAATAGATTTGGGATTTTTTACTTACTGGAAGACCAAGGGGCCCTCTGTCACCCTTTTGACCTTGTTCACCCTTCAATCCTTTAAGACCATTTAACCCTGGTTCACCCTAAATGTAAAAGTATAAATGCCAAATTTTTGGTGCTATAATGGGTGCTTAAGCTGGGATAGAAGAAGCCAGCCTCAGAAATGGCTGCAAATTCCAGTTTAAAGCAAGGACTCACATTCAGCCTTTTCAGCCTACTGATATAGATCTGGGAAAAAGTATTTGGGAGATATCTGATGCAGATTGACGTCTGCGTGAAAATACTGGAAACTTCTGAGCAACGGATTCTCAATAATTATCACCTTATTTAGGTAGTTGGAATTAGTCACACATTTCAGGGCTTTTGAGGATTTCCTCAAATCCCACAGTCCACTCTCTACAGATGATTCAAATAGAAAGAAAGCTTTCTGAAAATCAAGCCTCCACTCAAAAGTCTCCTACAGTTGGATCTCCTGTTTTGGAAGGAATCTGTATTTTTCCCTATGGCAAACTGGAATTTGCACCAAATCTCATTTAAAGATATTTTAAACCTTTAAGCATATATAATTAAGCTCAAGCAAATTGAAAGCAGCAGTATACATTATACAGCGTCAAGCTGTTCTGGAGGTTCATAGTTTCTGTGTTCATACAGAGAGGCTTAAACAACATAAGAAATGGCACCTGTCTTGTTGTGAATGTTAAATTATGCATAGGTTATTACATTAAATGCTACTAAGAGGATAATGGCGGGCTTGCAATTTCCAATAAATCATTCTCACATCACAAAAATCTGCCCCAGCATGAGGGCTATCCAGTCAAAAAAGGTATTGACTGTGCCTGCCTCTTCTGGGAAACAGGAACGTGTGTGTTTTTCATCCAGGCAGTTCCCCATGGCCCTATTCCTAGGCTTCCCTTTGATGTGTTATGCTACTTTATACCATATACATTTAAAATAAAATTCAGAATGAGATCTAGTCTGCTGCCTTAAGTAACTCCAGACATCTATGCCCCCTTGGCACCCATTTCTTCATTTTTCTTCCATTTGACTCAATGTGAGTTTCAGAGCAGTAGCACTGAAAATGCTGAAGTTTTGGAAACAGACCTGAGAAGTTTCACAGAAGTCCGGGTGTTAGGTCAAAAGCCTGAAGTAAGGCAGGTCTGGTATGTAAATGGAACAGACCTGACTTCAAAAAATGATCAATGACTCCAGATTCTTCTCCCAAGGTGACACAAATAGTCTTACAATATCTCAAGCCTGTGAAGATTTTCTCGCAACTTAAAGCAAGCCACACCAAAGGCTAAATGAAAGAACTCCTCATCTTATATTTCTTTTAGAAAGGTGCATGTGATTAGGGAGCTGTGATGATTAAAAGACTCATTCCTGATAGCAGCACCAGCCCCATGAATGTTGATAGAGTCTCTACAGTGCATTTTCATGTACCACACTGTAAAAGACGCTCAGAAAATCTGCTTCATCAAGGATTGGGGTTGAAAAACATGAAAATACACAAAACAGGTGTGTGGCAGGGAACTTGTGCAGTGCATGAAGGAACTGGTCAGCAGAGGACATGGCATCAAAGAAAGTGAGAGGCCACTCATACTGGAAGAAGTAGGAGAGGCAAGAGTACAAAAAGGAAGAGAGGTTTCTCTGATTTCATCTCCTGAGCGTATGCCACTTCTATGTTCAGAAGTAATCCCAATTGCAATAGGAGTGGTAACTTCCCCAGCACCAGGAAACAAAATAATTTAGTGCCATAGCACAGATCTCAGTACAGAAAATGGATTCAGCCAATGCTCAGGAGAAATACTAACCAGATGCAGTCACAGAACATTTAAAATCTTTTAAGCTATCTATCAGTATTAAGATTTGCTTTAAGGTTTAAGAATATCAGAAACATTTATTGAATGAGACATCAGACAAAACATAGCTGCATGCATTAAAGAACAAAGAATGACACTTCACAGACATCAAGAATATGAATATTTGAGACAGCCATTAATTTACCTTTGGGCCAGGCAGGCCATGAGGTCCCTGAAAATAAAGATACCGTGCTCAATTACAAAAATATGCCGTGAGTTTTTATAAGAGCTTGCTGCTCTATATGGGTGCAAGTTACATCTGTTCTTTTACTCTTGCAAATAAAATGCAGCTGCCAATAAAGCAACTGTAAACACCTGATTTAGAGAATAAACCAGACCAGTAACGTGTTTACACCAGCATAGGCGGGTGCAATTTGTTTCTCACTTCCAACATACTTAACGGTCCTAAATTAAGCCCCCCTCTAATTGTCATATACTTTCACAGAATTCTATTAATCAGGCATTAAAATAAGTGGGTTCAAGCACTTCCCAGTCTGTTCTCTTCCTCCCAAGCTTACCATAGGGCCCGGAGGACCATGTGGCCCTGGAGGTCCAGGAGGTCCTATGATCTATGGATAAAAAAAACAACAACAATGAGATTAAATCATATACAGTGAAGAAATTCCCCACAAATACCAAAACTCAGATTGATCCTTCTTCTGCTGTCAAATAAGCACTTATAAATGTAGCATTGCAATGGTACACCATGACACCATATCTAGAAAAGGGTTTTAGAAATGGGAATTACTGGAACTTGAAAGACGGGGTGCCTGAAGTGTAGCATTGCCTGTGCCATATGGCAACATGCCTGTCTCTGATTCTTGCTCCTAGACTCTTAAGATACACTGTAGAACAGTATGTGGCAAAAAAACATGTCCAAAATAAGCAGTACTGAGAAGGTGTGCTCAAACTTTTGTATTTTATGGGATATGCTCCTTAGCTGTCTCTATACTATGTAATCTACAGGAGCAGAAGATGCTGAAGATGCTGTGCAATTCCTTCCCAATAATGATGAATGGAAAAAGTTACTAAATAACTCACTCTTTTTCAAGACTGCCCTTTTGCTCTCCTTTTATTCCACTTAGCCCACTGAAGAATTCCTTGAAGTCATTAACAGAAGTGATCAGGTTGCTCAGGCATGTACCACATGCTTATTTTGTGCTGTTTTTCTGTATTCTTAATGTATCCATAGAAAAGAATTTCATGATGATATTTACAATTCAGCGTCACCTCTCTCCCAGGGTTTAACCCCAAGGGTCTCTGTTGTAGCCTGCACAGTGGCAGTGAGGATGCTAATTCACGTCTCCAGACTGATACTCAGCCCCTCACCAACACAGACCATTGGTGATGACAGTAGTGAGAACAAAATAAGTTTTCAGACATGGAGAGATTCCACCACCTGTGAAGTCTTCTGAAAATGGAAAGCCTTTTTTAAAGAGAAATCAAGCAGAGCACGGTGAATGAGTTAGCAAATTGATTTGTGACAAATTAACAAATGTAACAAAAGACTCGTATACTGAAGAGACAGTGAGTGCCCAGCATCCTGTGATGACAAACTTCCTTCATTTCTCAGAGCTTTTGTACCAAATACCCATTGCATGTCACCATAAACAAGGCAAGTAGCTTACTGTACTCTGATAACTTTACTCATCCTTAAAGAAAAGTTACTGAGTGTGGGTTTTTTTTGTTTTTGTTTTTGTTTTGTTGTTGTTGTTGTTGTTGTTTTAAATGATTTTGCAATGCTTTGAAAGTCAGGAAGATATCTGGTCCTGGAAAGCTTTCATATGTGGATAATATTTACAAGTGGACAAGTACAGAGTAACAATACATTTTCATTTCTGTATTAATTCCATCAAAATTATGCAGAAAATTATGCATGGTTTACGTAGAAAATTAAGCACAATAATACACAAGACTGGAACTTCCTCCCCAGATTATTTTATATCAAGAAAGTCTTTATCTTGTGTCACACAAGGGGAATTAGGCAGAAACTGGATGATGAGAAGTTCCATACTAACGGAAGGAATAACTTCTTTACTGTGAGATTGACAGAGCATAGGTACAGTTGTTCAGAGAGGTTGTTGAGTCTCCTCTGGAGATATTCAAGCCCCATCTGGTTGTTTACCTGTGTGACCTAATGTAGCAACCTGCTTTAGCAGGGGGTTGCACTCAATGATCTATTGAGATCCCTTCCAGTCCCTATGATTCTGTGATTCCTGACATCACTGAAGCCAGTCTAGTCTGCTGCTCACTGGACTTTCGTAGATCCCCATAATACAAAGTGTTGAAATAGATCTGATTTTGATTGCTTGTGTTGATTTAATCTCTTATTATTATTTTGCACAGCATTTATTTCTGATAGTTTAGAGAGCCGGAACTCAGTAGGACTGTTGTTTATGACAAAGGGATAGAATTGAAAAGAACTAAATCTGTAGCATTTCTTCAATAGCATTTAGCTGGTTAGGGTAAATATTGAAGTCCTTTAATTTTCAAAAGGCCATCGACTGCAGCTAAATTATGAACAAAAATACTGTGAAAGTTCAAGCATAGGAATCATCAAGAACTCTGGAAAGTTAAGCTGTGAATACGAACTGTTCCTCAGAATTAAAAGCTAGAGAACTATTGCTGGACTACTACACCCACTGCAACACTGCATCGAGACTTACCGAAGGGCCTTGGGCACCAGGCAAACCAGCATCTCCTTTTTCACCTTTCATGCCATTGGCTCCCTACAAAATCATTAAAAAACAGCGTTTATTAATAGTTTAGATCTCATTAGCAATCCATCTAGGAATGATAATGTGTTTGTAAATAATTATCATTTTATGAAAATAATTATACAACACATATAATGGAATTTATTATTCTTATTACTGTTTATTTTGGTGTCACTTCAATAATAGCTGTTAATAAGCACAAAGGCATTCTTTTATGTTATCAGCTACCAAATGTAGCCTGATATTTTTGAGAAGTCTTTAAGTTGGCACATTTCACTATGGATACATTTTGGGAATTGTTTCTATTTTTACTGAGAATTTCCACTTCTATGTATAGGAATAATACACCTCATGAATACCTATATATTTATTTTCTCTCCCTCTCAATTTAAAATTCTGGACAATTCAGCTGAGATTCCTGATAAGTGTTCAAAACAGCTCCTTTCTCCTGAACTTTACCAAGTCTAAATTTACCCACATTATGTTATACACTAAAAAAGAGATGCAAATCTGATCAGTATGTCAACTAATTTCTGTCTTTCCTAAGCAGTATTTTGTTTGACCATAAATAGAATGAAAAGTTCTGACAATGTTTCACCTCTTCCTAGGACAGATGCAGAACAATCTCAGAATTGTTCTCCACTGTGCTTTTTGTCCAAACTTGCAATCTATCAGCACTGCTGGAAATCCCTGATAGAGGGAGAGATTAAAAATATACTTATTTAAGCCAAAATTAATTCATACTCACTGGCAATCCAGGTAGTCCAATTCCTCCCTTTTCTCCATGCATTCCAGGTTCACCCATATCTCCTTTTAGTCCTTTAGGACCCTAAAATAATGTATTTATTTATTCAGCAAGTTGTTTGTAGGAACAGAATACTAGCTTTGATCATAACAAGCAGAATAAGTCATGCTATGGGTCGACCTTCATTATTAACATGTAGAATCACAATCATTATGTGACCACAGGAACACAGCAATGATCATATGGATAATAAATCTAAGCTACAACTTGAGAAATAATCCTCTGGAATTATGCATGGTTGTTCATACAATCTGCACTAGGTGGTTTACCTGTTCCCCATCAACTCCAGGAATTCCTGGGGATCCTGGTTCACCCTGCAAAAGGTAAAGTGGAATTGGATTATTATCTTCTAGTTATTCAAGACATTCATGGAAAAAGCAGCGCGAAATTTATTAAACTGGTCAGTAATGTTTCTAATTAATACATAATTAACAACAACAAAACCAGAGAACACTATTTGTACACATTGTATATACATACAATACTTGTGCTCAATACTGAACAAACAGCTCAGCCAAAGAGCTGTTCCAAAGTTCATAAACTTTGAGTTGCGTAAAGATCAGAAAAAAAAGTAAAAGAAAGAAAGAAAAGAAGAAACCCCAGAAGGCTGGGGAAGAAAGTGGGAACTTTGTCCATTACTGGAATAAATATGGAATCATGGCCTCTGATATACGTAGGGTTGACAGAGACCTCATGTTTTCTTTTCCTGACAAACATAAATCACCAGGGAAGGAGTTCACATTCACTGCATTGCCCTATGCGCTGATCCCCATATAGCATTCCCCAAGGGAGCAAGATGGGGATAGGTTATGATATTGACAACAAACTTTTGTAAGGTTGAATTCTGCTTTATGTCATTTGTTTTGAACAGAAATGAACAACCAGATGATGGAAGACACTCTCTTCCCCACATCAACTCCTCTGTGTTTTACAACATCCTCTTGGCTGCAGAAATCTTTGTGCTGAGTAGAACCTAATGTGGAAATTCTTGCATGCTTAACTGTGTGTTCCATTATCAGTTTTCATACAGAAGAAGAAATTTGATATTTAACAATTTCTCAAGACAGTTAACATGTTAGATGGGGTGAATTGCCATATGATATCACAGAAATTGTGATCACAGCCTGAAATTCAAATACTTAGTACTGTTTTTGAAGAAACATGTATCTACTCTTGGAAGAGCTTAGTGTCACTGGCAGAAGATGCAATATGTTCAATATTTAAGAAGTAGGAGAATTATCTCGACTAATTTAAAACCAATATAAATATTGCACTACATGCAACACTTTCTGTTTTCTTAAGTATAGGCAAATTTATTAAATTTTATGGAACAGTGCAGCATATGGTATTCATTGTCTCTGTGTGGGCTGCTCACTAATAGCTCTGGTACTGTGCACAACCCCAACAGGTGGGGTTAGCAGCCCTGGATTCACAGCCAGGATGCTGCCCACACATGCATGTTATAATTTTTACAGAGATTACAAAATATTGTGCTTCGTTGGGTGGGCACTACTGTAATACAGAAGCTGCGTTGACATGCACTTGCACTGTGGCCAAACTCAGACTGCTTCCCACCCAGTCAGAAGCGATACACAGGAACAACTGCCTGCTGGTACAGCTACTGTGCAAACACACAGAGCACTCTCTGCAGCAGAAGTCCTAGGGATCAGCCTCAGTGTAGATCCACGAGGAAGATGCTTCCACGCTGGTTTTGTACCAATTAATTTTGCCAGCTCTCAACTGAGCACCTGTGTGAATCAAAGTACTATTTCTGGGAAGCTACATTTCAAATTGCCAGAGTGCAAAGTTGGAAGCATGCTGTACTCAATACAATTTCAGGTAAATATACTGTTTTAGCTCCAGATACACATGTGCAGTGAGAAAACTAGAAAATATCTCAACTCCTGTAATGTGCAAGATAAGGAAGATCACCTTTGGACCTTGCAGCCCTTGGGGTCCCGGTGGTCCTGGTGGTCCCTAAAAAGAAACATACACAAAGTTTTAAAAGAAATTCCTGCAGGACTTGCCATGTAAATGCAGGTTGAATGTTAAGATAGGTACCTGAACAACACGAGTTAGATGTGTGGCACAATGGGAACCAAGACCAAATATGAACAAGTTGTTTATCTGTGATAACTCTCAGCAAACAGATGGTTACCAGTAAAAACAATGTTAAAACAGCAGTGCATTTCCTCTTTTTTAAGAAAGTCCTGCTGCTCCCATTGATGAAATGGCAAAGCTCCCCTTAGTGGCAGGGAGATCAAAGTTTGTTCACCTCAGCCACATCCTAATCTAAAGCACTCCAAGGTGAGAAGAAATCTCCTACAAAGAGGATTCTGTTGAAAAATGCTAACTGTCTTTGGGGAGTGCCAAAGGATGCTCAGTGCTTCAGGAAATTGTTAGGGAACAATTTGCAACTACTCCTTTTATTTCTACCTAAGGTTGCAGACACAATTTCAGCAACAAAATATTGAACTGGATGTTGTACAGTAGGCCTGTGTTTGTTTTAATAAATAAAAAGAAAAAATAAATCCTCTCCATTAATGAGAGGATAATGAGTGACAGAAATCTACAGAGAATAACTCAAAACAAAGAGAAGAATAAAATAATTTGCTTATACCAAACTTACTGCTATAAGAGAAGGCTGACCCAGAAATATTATAAGCATCTCCTAGCTGGTGTCAGTACTCTAAGAGATCGTGATGATCCTGATGTTGTATCATGGGAATTGGCTGGAGTACAGGGCACAGGAACTTGCAGTCCTCTGCACATGCTGAGAATAGGTGCTGAAAATTGGTATTTTTTTCTGAGGTCTGATAAGGTGGGTCAAGAGAATTGCCTGTACTTGAGGCTTTGTACTTATCATGACTTACAGTTAACTAAGCTGGGCCTTTTCCAGAAAGCTCTCACATTAGGTTTCTTTGCAAACCAATTTAAGAGCCATCCTTTTACCTTGAAAATAAGGTGGATAACTGAAAATCATTTGGTACTAAAAACCCATCTTTCCTGTTTCTGGACTCCTGTGCAGACACATCCAGATGAGAATGTATGCCAAGAAGTCCGAAGCAGCTAATCTGCCTAGATATGTACCTACAGAAATACTGTATTCTTTATTTTCCAGGTCTCTTAAATTAATGGAAGTTTTGCCATTAATTCATCAGGAGCAGAACTGGCTCCACTACTGCAGGACTTTCGACAATGAACTCTCTGGTAAGGGAGCACTGAGCAAGAAAGTAAATGGGATGGTAAGCTGGGGCTGCACCGAAGGAAGGCACATCCTGAACTGGCAGAATGACGACCATGTTATGACATCAAGGAGACATTCTACAACACACAGCAAATCATGCAATTGGAATTACCGTGACAGTGAGGGTGGCAATCCTCTGTTGGCAAAATGTATTAAACAAGAGACAACGTTACCAAAATTGAACACGGATATAAATTATTCTGCTTGTAAAAATTAGTATCTCCACAAAACCTATGCTGCATCTGGGGAGAAACCATGTCTCCAAAAAATAAGAGAGAAAGCACTGTTATTCTTAACTCCCAGTGTTGCACAGTTTGGCTTCTAGGGCAATCAGGATTTTACATAGGTGAAGACTGTAATTTCTTGTAAATTTCAAGTGATTGAGTAAGTGATGATTAAACAGTAAAATCACAGTAAAAGTCTTCCAAAAGATTTTTAGGAACTAAGAAAAATGGGACGAATTGATCTCTTAGGATGATTAAAAGATTTGCCCCCTGTTTTGGGATCTCTGCAAGTTTTGCACCAAGGTTTAACTAAAAAATACAATTCCTACAGAAGAGGTGTAACAGTTTGGTTTTTTTTTATAGAAACTAAGATACACAAAAACAAAGTTAGGCTCTAAATCTGAAAATGCTGATCCACAAAAGCACTAAGTACTTTGAATTCTGTTCTAAATGTCTGGAACGACAACAGGCTTCTTTTATTAATTATTATGAATTCTTTTATTATTTTTAGCTTGATCTGTTACTATATATTTTTTTTTTACAAATAAGAATCTAAAAGCAAGTGAAAAAGTGTTTGAAAGTAATCAAAATGCTTGTCTATGTTTTTAAAGAAAATAAACATCCCGAATCCTGATGCCTCTCTTTGCTTTTATATTAACTGTGAAGAACCTTCTGGCATATACGGAAGGAAAAGTATTTAGCTTTTAACTCTTTTCCTATGTGCAAATGGATGGTTTGCAAATCCTGCTTTCAAATTTTAAAAGAATCTTCATTTGCCATTAAAATTGGAGTCTGCTCGATACGAAGTACATAAAAAAGAAATAAAGAAATCTGTTCTCTAACGATGACTTTAAGACAATCGTATATTTTGCATTATAATGTATTTATGGGAATATATAAAGATTTTTAAAAACTGAAAAATTCAGTTTATATAGACATGAAAACATAAAATAACCACTGCAAATGAATGCTGGCATGATCACACTGACAGGCTCATTTTCATCAGCACATTCAGATATCTAAAGCGTCTGATCCTCTACAGAAGTTAAACTCCTGCAGCTAATGTCTTTAGCCTTAGGAAATTCTGAGGAGCAGGCCTGAAGAGCAATTTTGATAGAGATGCATTTTGTATTTGGTACTACATGTGAAAGCCACATGCACTCAGCAGGGCTCTTGTCAAACCATGATGATAATTTTAAGATCCCTATTTCCAGTGCTGATGGACTCACATGTCTCATTCTGCACTGACATAGGAAATTGAGCAGTAGGCACAAGGCAGAGTAACTATATTATCCTAAAGCTTCTGGGCTGCTTGATGATTTATTGCTAAATTCTAAGAAATGCAGACAGCCTAGATCTTGCTAACTCTTGTCAACTTCTTAAATCAGCAGACCAAATTCTGTGTAAGGTCACAGTTTGGTGCTGAATGCATAAAGTGCTCAATACCTCTATGGGAAAGCTGCAAATCTCAGATCCTTTAAGAATTTGGCACCAGGAGACTTAGGAATAGGTGCTTGCCATCTGAAAGGCCTGAACTGGATTTGGCAAGGATACTGTCGACTGATCCTATATAATCTTACTTACACCACCCTTGCACAGACATTCCCATTGATAACAATTATTTGTTGCCCTGGATCAGAAGGTGATGACATTTGAAATGATTTACAAAAGGAAAAAGGCCTCCTCATCTGTTTCAACCACTGCAATAGGCTTTAATCCTTTATCGAGGCTTCTTTATGTGCTGCAGCTTTTCCAAGGTGTTCTCACACAGCACTTGAAACTAACACTGATGCCAGTGAGGATATAAAGGCAGAATACAGGAAACATGGGGCCTAAAGCCCCTGGTAAATCTGTGCCTGATAATATACTATGTTACTTCCAAGCTACTTCAGTCATCTAACACTGAGATTGATTTAAAAGACTGAAAAATGTGTCTTTGAATTCCCTTAGGAGTGAAGCAAGTGAGATGAGTATAATGCAGTGCCTCAAAAGATGCCTATGTAGACTTCCCCACAGATGCCACTCACAATGACAGTGGGCTTAGCTTCAAAAACATATGGGCTTTTAGATTTTACTAAAGGCAGTGAGGTTTTTTTATTTTCAAAGGAGTCTTGAAAAGCACATGACTGGCCAGACATCTATCCACTCCCACTGAGTAAATGCAAGAAAAAGTTCATTGGATTCAGTGAGAAAATGATCAGATGCACAATGAGCCAAGTTCTGCCTTCAGTTGCACATAAGCAAATCCATTCATTTTGGTGGAGTTATACTCCACAAAATTTGCATCTGACTACACTGCAATGTAAATCACCTTGACTGCAACGACATATGTCATCTTGTTACTTTGCTTTCATGCAAACACTCATTCATTCTTTTTGCAACCCCACTTTAATCCTACATACTTTTGTGCATGCCTGTCAAAACAGGTTTCTAGAAATGAACTAATGGGAAGATTGGTGCTTTGACTATTTAACATACTCAAGTTGCTGATTGAATCCACAGCTTTCTAATGGAACCACACGTGTTATGGTTTCCAAATCTCAAATATTCTGCTCTTTGCATTTTATAGGAAGAGGGGAAGGGAAAAGAGGAAAAAAGAAATGTCAACATTTTAGCCGTTGAACTGAAAAGCAGATGCTTCTGTTGAACTTATGTATGTGGTTCATTGCATGAATTCAGCACTAACCCCCACACAGCAATGAATCAGCGTTATTCTCATTAGATGATGTCAATATGCTCTGTGGGAAATGCGACTAATTCACTCAGCTAAATTGTATCAAGGAAACAGTTTTTCTCACACCAAATAGCAAGTCTGGTTTCCAAATATAGAAAGACATTCCTAATCAATAAACTCAGCAAATCTTTTGGGAAAAAAAAGTGTTCTCATGGTTTATGCAGAAGGAAAATACAGTGACGTCAAACTGCTTCTTGGCAGACCAGGCTAAACTATTCCAGCCTTGTTAAGTTTACGTACCTGTAGAGCTTCATGAATATTGCCATTATAGTCAATTATCTCTGTAGCACCTTGATCACCCTTCTGTCCAGGTGGCCCCTGTAATATATTTTCCATAACAATTTTTGAGACATCTGCCAAAGACTACTCTAGACACTTATTTACCGATGAATGCTTTAATGCCAAAGCAGCCTATTCAAGTTTTGTTGTATTTCCAATGTACTAGTACATCCACATAACTTAGCATTAAACCAAAGACTACATTTAAAGGATTTTTTAAATATTTTTTTCAATAAACAAGCGAGTCACCAAGTGAATTGTGCTGCAGCGGGAAAGCAAATAAACAAAACCACTGCAGTTAAATGCTGAAGCGGTTCCAATACACTAACTTTGTGCTGCCTGTGGGTAACGTCTGAACATGGCATGTAGCATCCTGCCCACAAACTGTGAGTAGGATAATAGTAGTAAGTCAAATAGTAGTAAGGATTGTTACTCATATTAAAGGCAAATTAGTAACACACTTTCCACCAGGTCAAGTGACCAATCTCATTAGATGAACTGGAGTTGCTGCCATAATTTCGATTCATTGCAGAGAATGAATGCAAGAGTACAAATATTGAACTGAGAAGTAGACTTACCCGTGGACCTGGAGATCCTGTGTCACCTCTGTCACCTGTATCACCCTAGGTAAAAGGGATATTTGAGAACAAATATGCCATCTAACAGTTTATTAGGTAGTTCGTCTCTTTTAAACATGCCTCTCCTAAATAACCCAGTTAAACAAACAGGCCTCTCATTATTAATAGAATGTGGACCTTAGTTACAGCAGAAATTCCTTAAACATCTGTACTGTGACAGGGCTAACAATGAAGTATTTGGTTCTATGCAAGTTGCCACTGTGTGTTGTATTGGGTTGGAATAAGTTGTACCAAAGACTCAACAAAAGAGGTTACCAATTCTGTAACAAACACAAGTTCTCTACTCTTTATGGCACTACTATCAAAAGCTTTAAGAAAAAGCAAGAGAAATAAAATCAGTCTGAAGTCTGAAAACACTTAGTAACTTCCTCAAAGGTGTATTTCAACATGTGTAAACATTTACTTCTGTGACTGCGACTCCACTAAGCATCTGAACTTCCTTGCTCCAAGTTCTTACCTCTACTGCAGACACAAAGGTATTCTCACCACTAAAGTCCCTTCACTCCCTCACTGACAGGCTTAAGATCTTTACCATCTTGCACACAGCTTTATCTTCCTGGCTACTAGTAATCTGTTTCAAATGATGAAGGGAATTTCAAACGTGTTTGCTTTCATAACTCAACACCTAGTGATTATGATTCTTTTTGCTTCACAGTCATAACAAGGTCTTTGATTTTTATATTACTCAAAATGAATTTGGCAAAGAACTGCTACTCCTGTTGAAATCTCTATAACATTGGTATAAGTTAGGGAAGAATGGTTAATTCACCAGTAGTAATAGGAAAAAAAAACAAAACCAAACTTAAAACAGAAAATGGTCATAGGGATAATGAAAGAAGAATATGGAGAAGAGGGTGGTGGCAGGACATGATCAACAGTATTGCCATGCCAGTATCTAGTGACATTGTCACTGGAGTTGCTAAAAACAGTCCTGACTACTAGGTTGACTTCTGTGACCCAGAATTTAGAAACAGTTAGGCCTTTTTGGTAAAATGAGAATTAAAAGAGGTATCTCTATCTTTCTGGTGCATTTGGGAAGTGCCCAGGAACTAGAGGCAACTGAATCTGATTTACTCTTCTGCTCTTACTCTGATGCATTAATACCCCCATCAGCTCCCTCGCTGACTAACTTTCCTTTTTGGCAGGAATGAGTGAGGTGAAGGGGCAATTTCCTCATCATATCCTTAAGCACTGTGAATGGCTGTTATGTAAGGACCTTTCTTTGAGGTATCGCAACCAGTATCCTACTAGCCTACAACATTGTCTTGATATCTTTATTCTGACAGTAGACTGAAGAACTGCCTAAACAAATCTGATTTGACACATAACATCACATAACATCACATAACATGGAGGAGTCCAGTGAGCACAGTATTTGCAAAGTATATGAAATATTTTTAAAAGCATGTATTTTCTTTCTCTACGTACATGTGAACCCATTATATCCATACAGAGATAAGTGGATGGAGGGAATGATAAGTAGATAGACATAGGAAAAAAAAAAAGCCAATACATCAAACAAACAAAATCAAACCACTTTAGGTACAGTAGGTAAAACAGTAATGTAACCTACAAAACTTGCCTATGTAGGACTTACTGGCAAGCATCTCTCTTCTGAAAGACTTTGAAATACCCCACCAAGATTTTTACCCCACCAAGATTTTTACCCCACCAAGCTTGATTCCACAAAATAATTGCAAAAAACAATTGAAACTCCACAGGCATAACCAGAAGATGGTTGGCATGGGAGAGAACTAACTCACATCAGTTACATAGAGAGAAACCAAGTGGCATGAGGAAAAAAAGAGCTGATTGAAATAGATGTTATAATAAAAAGGAAAATAGAGTTGCAGTGATTGAAATACACAAGGTTCAGTTCTAAGAGCTGAAGCTGAAAATCAGAATGTTTCATTTATAAATAACACTGCATAATCTGCTACGGTTTCCTTTAAAGAGATATCTGAAATTTCTGAGAAGTGTTATAAACAATTTATTGTAAAATAAATGTGTTAATCACTCCACTAAAGACAGGTTGTTTTTTTGTTTTTTTGTTTGTTTTTACTACTAACCTTTGACCCTTTGGGGCCTCTAGATCCAGGTTCACCTGTTCTCCCCTGTTTGAGGGAAGACAGCAGATGGAGAGGAGAAAAATGATAGCGGAATGGGAGCGCAGAGAAAAAGAAATTAGTAATGACTAACTATACTACAGAACAGCAAAATCACTTAATTTTATATGATCAAGATCATGAGTCTGTAAAGACCTTGAATTTAATAGCACCCAGAGTAATATATTCTTTAACACCAGCATGCAAAGGCCACAGACTTCATCCTTCCAAAGGAAAATTAGTATTGGCATTAGTAAAGAGTAGACATCATTAAAACCATTTTATGGGAACGATCTACGTCGTTTCACTGCTCCTGAAAAATGTTAGTCAAACAGTAGAGAAGACATTTAGCTATCCTTAAATAACGAGATTAAATAAAGTGTTACCACAACTTCTTTTCCCAGTAATTCAGAGGAATATAAACTAGCTTGCCAAGTACAAAATCTGCCTTAGCATCTTCAAAATGTATTAGGACTGGAGAAACAGCATGCAAAATGGATTTTCTCTGCAATCAATAGCTACAATGATCAGAAAGTTCAAACTTTAAAAATGACCCAGTTCTCATTCTTTTTTTTTTTTTTTTTTTTTTTTCAGCTGAAGAAGATGTGTTACGTGTTATTGGTGTTCCCCTAACCAAAACACTCCAATCAGACCGACCTTTGGTCCTGGAAGTCCAGTTTCACCTCGCTCACCCTTCCCAGGAGGGCCTGCCTCTCCTCTGTCACCCTGTGGAAGCAGGTACACATATCACAAAGCATTGGGCAATTTTTAGCATGCAACTTACTCAGCTATGTCAAAGAAACCAAAACATCAGAAGGAAACATTTTTGAGCTCATCTACAACTTGCAGTGGATTGGGGAACTCTTCCTTGAGTAAACACAGTGTTTTCAAATGCAAAAAGTAAGATTTAGAAATTCTATCCTGGATTTATACAGGATCCTATAAAGCTATTTTCCTCCCTATTCTGAAAGAAGTGGAATGAAGATTCCCGAACTATGAGACTTAATGAATATCATTCGTAGAATTCATAATATGCTATCTTTACCACAGAACATCTTAAAAAAATCTGTATGTGGTAGGAAAAAACCCTATGTTTAATGGCACTGAATTTTACAGTCTGGTATGTATTATCATAGTTCTAATGTCTGCACAAAATTTTAAGATTTCTTCTAAAAAAGTTATGAAAACATACTTTCTTCTTGCAGGCATATTCTGCTTCTTAAAGAAGTGACTTTTGAGATGCTGACATAAAACAAACTCCATGAATAAACTTACATTACGAATGGATAAAGTGTCTGCCTTTACATTGTTTGAGGGCATCACTACGAAGGTGTGTATTTCATTGCATTGGTCCATGAAATGCAACTCTTCACATTTCCAGGTACTGTAGGTACTATATTTTAACCTAAACTTATGACAACTATTCGTCTGTGGCTAAAAGATTTTTACACAGTTAGCACAATCTCTTCTAACAAAATTGAAGTTGCTCCAAGGGATTTTATATTGGAGCATTGTTCAACTGCCTTACCTTTGTTCCTGGTAACCCTGGCAGCCCGGGTTCTCCCTGCGGACCAATGAAACCTGGTTCACCCTTGAAAAGCACAGCATGAGAAGAATGTGAGGTTAGTTATTTAGCAGTGCGTACATACAGTAACACTAGTTTCTTTTGGCTGCATTTTCCCTGTATCATCAGCACATCCTGTTATGATGGAAGAGTTATATAAAAATACTTTAAAATTTAAGCAACTTTCATCAGTATACATTCTTATAGCAAGCCATTACACAGCATATAAAATGCAAATGAAACAGAAGGTGTCACACATTGTTTTTTTATGAGGTTAGGGATCATTCATTTCAGTCATGTTTTATGAGGCAGTGAGTGGATGGGCAGACGGGGTGAGGGTATGACAAAGTAATGACAAACAGAGGCCAGATGGTACTGTTGCAATGCATTTTCAAGGGAGCCAGCTACATCACTGCAAGAAAGCAGATCAAAAGTATAATGCATCAGCACGGCACTATCCCTCCCCATTCTGACAGGAAAGTACTTCAGTTGTCCACATCCAGACAACTTCCATAGCTGTGAACAGGTGGCAAACAGCTCCTTGCTCCCTCACTGTTCTGGCCCCTTCCTGCCCATTAGTTTGTACAAACATAACAGACAAATAGCAGCAATCAAGCTGAGATGCAGCACATGCAGATTTAGAAAGGGAGTAAATATTTTGTTTGTTCCTTTTTATTTTTAACCTATCACTGTGGCTGAAGAGGAACAGTGAAAAGTGAAGAAGCCATAACAAGCTCTCCTGAACAAGGCTTCCTGTTACCTAACTTTCTACTTTTCACACAAACTTGAATCAAGGAAATTTACCCACAAGGTATTGTAAATTTTAAAAACCAGTAGTATAACCCAATTAGTATAGATTTTTACAATATCACCGAACTTGATGAATTAGCCATCAAATGCTTCTTTAAATAGCTAAAAAGATAGAAGTATCATAATGCTGTATTGATTTAATTACTGACAAGTAAATAGAAGCAGTTGGATAACAGTTCTCTTCACCTCTTTGCCCGCACAGAAATACAGCCATGCTGCAGTGAGTGAACAAGTTAGCAAATGTTCTTGTATATTCATCTGTGCTCTCATCAACAATCCATCATTAGCAGTTCCATCATTAGCAGTTCAAGCAAAGAAGGTCCCTAGCAAATCTATAACCAGAGAAAATTTTCATGTGGCCATACTGAATGAGGAGCATTCAGTGACTTCAACTTAGAAGATCAAAAAAATTCAAAGATATGCCAACACTAAACAGCACAGTTTCTAACGTGAAGTTCCATCTGGCTATGGTTCAGAATTGATAATAAAAACAAAGGAATAAACGATGACAAATGTGTCTCAGAGAAGGGTATTTAGCTGTCATTTAGGAAAAATAACCCACAACAGTTTACTTAATTCTTTGTGTCAGTGCACATCAGCAAGGTAACATGAGGTTACCACTGTAGATGGAAACACTTTTATGTCAGTAAATGGACAACAGTGCATTTTCAATTATTTTATGAGGAGGCACTCAGTGGCTCTTGATTGTTTTAATACTGACTTTACCAGGGCTAATTGATGACTTCAAGCAGAAGAAACATGCAGTCTCTCTGCAATTCAGTCTTTTCAGTGGTAAGGCTTAAAGTATTTCTCAGGTTGATGCGCAGGGACAAGTAAAGCATGCTTTGCAAAAGCAAGTGGAATGGATAACAGAGGAAACTGCTGGCTTAATTAGCATAACTAGAGTACTGATCTTACACAATGCAGAGCTTTAAAAGATTATCAAATGTTTAGTGGAATAACTTGTGTCAGAAAGGATAGGACCTGACTGGTTGAGTAGCAGCTCTGCTGAGGAAGACTTAGGGGTGACAATGAATGCTGAGTTGAACACGATCCTGCAGACTGTTCTTATCACACAAAACAAAACTGCAGTAGGTAGGATTTGGCTACATAAGGAAAAACATGCAACTCTCCTATACAGTGCTGGTGGGGATAAGTACGTTAAGACACCTCTGGCTTGCCATCCTAACTAAACTTCTAAGTAGAAAAACAATCTGCTCAGATGATTTGAAACTAAGCAGTATCCTCTGCACTATCTCAAATCTCACCTGTAAGCACAACATAAGGTGTTAACCAAAGCACTCAGGCACACTTCTGCACCATTCCCAGCCAGTGGAGCTAATGTCTGCATCAGCTTTGTTCCTGGCATTTCTGTCTCCGTTATTCAGAGAGAAATGTTTACATTAGAAACAGACTCCATTCAACTGTCCAGCATTTTGTTCTGCAAATGCTGCCAGCCTTCTGCTTTATGTTATTATACTGATTTTGGCTGCGACAGAGTTAATTTTTCTCATAACTTCATTTTGGATTTGTGATGAAAACAACGCTGATGTTTCAGGTGTCACAGAGTGCTCATGCAGCACCAGGGCCTTCTGTAATTCTCACAGCCTGGCCTACAAGGATGCCAGAGAGGCACAAGGAGCTGAGAGGGGACAGAGCAAGGAGAGCTGAACCAAAATGGCTGAAAGAGAATTCCATACCATACAGGAATAAAAACTGCTGGCAAAGTTGGCTGCGGCTGAGGTTGTTATATGGAGGCTGATTGGGCATTGGTCAGCTGGTGTTGAGTATCTGGGCTCATTTTTTCCATCACTTGTTTTTCTTGGCTTTGTTTTTGTTTCCCTTTTCAAACCACCGCACTTTTACCTTTCCAGTTTGTTTTCTCATGCTTCTGTGGGGAGTGAGCGAGTGGCTGATGCTCAGCTGCCTACCAGGGTTAACACACAACAGTTACCCTCTGTGCCACACACACCACAGAAAGAAATGAGAATCTATCAAGCTTAGCACTGCCAGCGATGTGTGAAATGCAAGGGAAACAGTTTCCTCGCAGTAAGATAAGAGTAAAGGCCTGCTGAGGCTGCTCTCTGAGGTGATTTCATTCTTGCTTGAAGATCTCCCGACCTCAAGATCCTTGCATAGGCAAGAATCATCTCTAAACAACTGTGAAACACTGAAAGGAATGCAAGCAATCAGAGTAGCCAAGTTTTATAATACTCTTCTAAAGAACTCACAATAGTTTCTTACAATAAAGTTTTATCTGGTGAGAATCTACCACAAGCCACTTTGCCTGCTAAAGCAGAGGCAGGGAACAGGACATCTGGAAAGAGGAAAGTTAAGCAGGTAGCTTATGAAAAGAGAGTAAGGAGCTGCCTCACTTGAGACACAGTTTACAAGCTGTATAAAAAGCCATCAGCAAATGATGACTCTTCAATGAGTTTTAGTTCAACCCTTTGGCATAGTTATGAAATAAAAGCTTAGAAACCACCATATAGCGCAGGAAGTCAACAACATCAATCTCAGCATTTAAACTCCATTTACTGCTGGAGCTTGGAGCAATTTGCATCAATCATACAACAGAGGCAATGTGCTATTAAATAAATCAACAAGCTTGTGAGTTACTTCCATTTTACAGGAGCGATTTGTTATCATTTAGAAACAACCCCTAATGGCCTGAGATGTTAACATTTTAACAGATAAAGGGATGACCTCTGTGTGTGCTCATTTTCACCCTCAGACATTTGTCAAATGTAGGAATACCAGTGGGTCAGAGAGCAAATGAGATGATGCTTCTCACAAACCCTGTCAATGGTAATTTTCACCTCTAATCATAAAATGCGTGAAGAGAAAAGGGCCGTATAATTGCATGCTGTACACCTAATGCTGTGTGAGCTCCATCAGAACTAGAAGTAAAAAAAAATAAATCCTTGTAATTTACTTCAGAGGATAGTCTTTTTTTTTTTTTTTTTTTTTTTTTGAGGATTATTAACTAGACATTATTAATAGCTGGTTGTTTCATGATGATCAAAGCATTTATGGGCTGAGGCAGAAGCTAGCTTTGATATTAGAGGTTAATTCCAAGACATGCTATTCACTGTCACTGTTTTAATTTTTATAGAACTTATTACTGGCTAAAACTTGAACTTTTGTTCAAGAAAGGTGCAACAATTACAGTTCCACTTGCCACGTTAATTGCTTTTTTAAATGTCACTAGCTTGATGACAATATTTATAAACAACATAATACTGCCCTGGTTTCACAGCACAGCTGAAACACAAAGCAATGCAATTACTTGAAACTTTGTTCTGACAGGCCTCATCTGTACACTGACAGAGACCTAACATGGCCCATGTTCAGGGGCAGGTTGGAGCTTCCAAACTCCTTCCTGTAGGTCCAAGCATTCTCTAGATGCTCGCAACTCCTGGTAATGGGGACAGTTTGCAAACTCCTCACAAGCCACAGAACTTGGGAGAGCCCAAGGTGTTCCTTCTAATCAAAGCAGACATGGACAGGTCCCCATTTTATTCACCGAAGAGACCAAGGTGTGCTTATCTTAAATATCATCCTAACTCAGTGATAGTCATTTAAAAAAAATTGATGCACTTTCCTTGTCTAATGCTACTGAAAAAACCCCACAAAGCTGAAGATACCCAGAGCAAAATCTAGCAAGAAAAAAACATCCCAAAACCCAGGTCTAAGGCTATATAAAGAACAACAAAATCAGAAATATTGAATTTGGTTTCGCTGATATTTTCCCTCATTTTCCAGAAATTGCCATTTGTTGCCCTCAGATTTCATTTCTGAGATTGATAACCAATACAAATACTTTTCCCGAAGTTTTTAAGACAGAGGTGCAGCGCTGTAGCAGCTGATGAAGTTGTACTTGCTCATACCTAACCTGTTGCTTCTTAAGGATTCCGTGGCACTCAGTTCCAGGACAGCAATACCCTGGAAGCTCAGCCTACCTTAGGCCATACAGGTCAGCGAATGGCACTTCATATTTTCTCAATGTTAAGGGCATTAGAAGGACTTCACATATAGCCTTAAGTCCATGGGAATTTTCATATCAGGAGGTCCAGTATTCAGTTCATAAGAAGGAAGTGAGCAAGGTGAAAGGAAATCTGATAAAAAACTAACCCCACTTTATGAAGCCTTTGTTAAGGCTTTTCATATCAGCTCAGAACTGCCTCCAGAAATGGCCAGCTGAACAGGTTGTCTGC